GAGAAATTGATAAAGATTAACAGATCCAAATGTACGCTAGTCGACCAGGCTGTTGTGTCGACCACTAGTCGCTGTTTTGTTCGGATCATGTTCACCACGTGACCTTATGGAGCCTCGTTTTAACCAGCTGTTTTGATATGATTTCTTACGATACCATGTATGTATAATATTGTTATTAGCCAAAACTGAATTTGCCAGGAATGTTTCGATCATTTCCTTGTAAAATGACCTCTTGTTTTACGATTTACGCGTGACAGAGCGAAATAAATGAAATCGAATTTATCTGGATCTAAAATTGTATGCGCAAAGACATTGTTTACACTCTCCGAACGATAATGATATTAATTAGTGTCGGGTCGCCCTTTTTTATTTTAATTATTTGACGTTAATAAAACGGTTATACAAAATCTAAGATATCATAATTAACAGAATTAAGAGATATTTAAATGTTATAAAGGTTTTTGTCAGTTATGAAATGAATATCTTACCATTTAGTCCCTGAAACGGACTTTCGTGTTTTCTGCATGAATTTTTGTTCTGTTATATTCTCTCGAATACCGCGAAAATTAAAGCCCTCGATAGATATATTTTTACAGTATACCAACAATAAATCAGGTTGTATAGATATTAAATTTTATCAGTGCGTGTACAGAAATATAAATGTACACCACTTTAATCGACACAGAATATTGTATCACAAACAGATCGCACAAGGTGAAGGTTAATCTTCTTGACAGATACGACATGTTTATATTCCTTAGAACAATGACTTGACATAAAATACCTAGGGCCGTATTTCAAATAGGTACACATGTAAAATCTACGATATAATTATTTTCCGCCAGCTTGAGTGAAATATTCATGTTTATAATAGTATCAAACATCTACAGTGTTCATACGTCAGAAAAACATATCAGGGTGTGTTTTTTTCCAAAGAATTGGAAGACAATCATTAACATGGTTAAATAGCTGTGGAAGAATGTCGTTTAAACCGTCATTCAAAAGCTTCTGTTTTGATCAGATTCTGTTTATCTCTGAAAAAATCAATGAAACACAGTAAGCCCGCAGATTTGGAACATTTAAGCTTTGCTTTGTTCTATTTTTTATCAAAAATTATTTCAAAGGCGATGTCACATATGTTTACGTATACACAGTATATATTATATTTATATATAAAGCACTTTGTCATTACTGATATATATTCAGTTATAAGCATGATCACATGATGTTATTTTCTTGTTTCGTTTTTTTTTCGTATTTAAAGCAATCGATAACAGGCTAGAATCATCGTTAAAACATACACTTAAAATATCTTTATAAAAGCCTTCGCACGTGTGCCTTTAATTTGTATACTAGTGAGTGAAATATGTGTAACATTTAAGACTCAATATGTTAACCATTTTTTCAATATATATAACATCGTAGTAAACAAATAGCAAATATTAGTCTTATAAACTTCCCATGCTAGAGTACCTACGGACACAATAATAAAATACGGAAATAAAACATTTTAGTGACTGATATGTTCTTGAATTTATAAAGATACTGAGAATATTTAAGATAATTAATCTTCATTGTGATTCAATTTATCGCTCTGATATAAGAATTATTTCACAACAGATATCCTATCAACGTTTCCATCGCCGCAGTGTAGCAAAGATATTACTACTCTTTTGCCCGATAGTTAAAAGTCCGGTCAACGTTCTGACTTTTATAATGCGGTTTTGTATCATTTATTAATTAGTTATTCTGTATAATGATCTAAAAATATTAACATATAAACAAAAAAGACAATGCGTCTTCTGTTTCATCGACGACACACAAGTTTTTGTCAATGCCAGTACGTACTTGCAAAACTGTGTAAATCAGAAAAAAGTTAAACATCATTGTTGTTTAGGTCTCGCACAAGAAATAATAACTGCTGTAAAGATTAATTAACTTATGGGTATCTATGTCAAATATTCATGAATATTTTTTTAATTACGAACTCACGATTTAAACAATAGCAATGCCTCCATCAACTGTTTTCTTAACCATAATTTAGTTGTTACGTGTTAAGAGCTTATCCGATTATCACCCCGGAATAATATTTTCCCTAACTTGTACTCTATGATTCTCTTAATTTCGACATATTTCTTAAATAATGAATTATTTTAGTACCTTTAGAGCACGCTTTGCTCTCTGAAATTTGATACCGGTCCTGGAATTAGACTAAATGTCGTAATAGTTTTACTGTCTCAACAATCATACCGATATTTACTTTACTTTTCTTAAAGAGATTTAGTTTCCTCACCCTTTGTATGATAGTAAACTTAGTATCAGGTTTTCCAAAGTGTCCAAACAAAACAGCTTACTTGTATTTCTCTCCACCACACAAATTATAGAAGTATTTATTTTCGAGGGACTGTTTCTAAGAATGAAAGTAAAGAGTGACATAGTGATATACCGATTCTGTTTTGCTGTACACTTTTGGTAATCGTTGTCAATTTTAGCCATCGAATAAAAACAACTGTTAGAGTAAATACCGTAGACGTTGTCCTTACCATGGTCTATCAGCATTAAACAGTACTTATCATGGTTATAACGATTTGATAAGATACCAGTTAATATATTATCTATACATTTCATTTTTCAGGATGACCATTCTCACGAGAAGAAAAAGGAAGAAAGTAAGTATATACAATAAAATATATTATAGTACACAACATACGTTTTGAAGAAGAGGGGAAAAAAGTAAGTTTGTGAAATACAAAGATATTAGAGTTCACAACATGACTTCTGAAGAAGAGGGGAAGACAGTACGTTTATAAAATAATATATATTGTTGAACACAACATAAGTTTTGAAGAAGAAGGGAAAAAAGTAAGTTTGTGAAATACAAAGATATTAGAGTTCACAACATGACTTCTGAAGAAGAGGGGAAGACAGTACGTTTATAAAATAATATATATTGTTGAACACAGCATAAGTTTTGAAGAAGAGGGGAAGACAGTACGTTTATGAAATAAAATATAGTATACAACATTAGTTTTGTAACTGTACCATTCCTGAATCATCTCATTGATACGTATAGTAACAAAGATCATGCAGTAAGATTACATCAAAGTTTATATTGATGTGATAATCGGTCAGTTATTGTATAAGTTGGGGTTTTTTTAATCTTCACATCTTTGCCGCGACCTTTTTTCTCCAAAGTTATGAAACTGCATTAAGGAGATGTTGTTTTTCGATACTATTTTAAACGTGTATATACATTTATGTATACTCCACATACAGAAAACTAAAAGATTAGTATGAATTGAAAATGGCCATTATAAGGTGACAAGTTTATTAGAAATTATAGGAAACATATGTAACTATTAACAAGATACATACAAGTATTATAAAAAATACAGTATTTATATAATTCTCACACTTAATATAAAGGTGGGGGTTCGGTAGAACAACGCCACACAGTGGAAACAGTAATTTTTAAACTTCCCCACCAAAATATTTTAAACGTGTATATACATATATATATATATTAGAATAACTTAAAACAACACGTCGAATTAATCATTAGCGGTTTCATGCCTGAATCTTCATAATGCTTAATTTGACGTGTTGTTATTCTAATATATTTCACCGGACACTAAGAATTCAACTTTTTTATATTTCTCATTTTTATTCCATCCTCGATAAATAGCAAAAATTATAACACTTTGAATGTAACAACTTCTGCAGTATAACCATTCCAGATTTAGGATAACGGTTACGATAGTACAGTTGGTAGATCGTTCGCGGACTCAACCCAATATATGAATTCGGGCTGTATGGTTCGACATAGAGGGTTGAGTTTCTCTGATGCCGAGAAACGGACCGGTCTTTGCTGCCGTTGTTATATATTTGACCAAGATGTCTCAGCCCTATTGCTGTGGGTGACTAGCTACTCAAAACATGCATTGATTCTCAGTTCAGCCTGATCACTCCATCATTTAACAATTTGGAACACGGACTCATCAGTACCCAAACCAGAAACTATGATATACAAGACAAAATCACGAAAAAATGAGTCAATGAAATTTTACTTCTACAATGCACGTGCGCAACACTCACCAGTTTACTCAATCGTCAATATACAATCCACAGTCATACAGTAGGTTATGTCCCACTCGTAAATATGTTTTGAACTCGTATTGCAAAACAGCATTAAATGGACATATAGAAGTAGAAAATTAGAGTTTGACGTTTCGATGACTACACTGTCACCTTTATCAGACATTGACAAATGTGGAGCGTGCTTGCACTGTCGTACGCAGTGTAAGAGATGGTTTCGGCTAGACTACATTGTATAATTCTATGAGAACAAGGATCGACAAAAGTGTGACGAAATGACAGTGAGCAGATCATAGAGAAAAGTACATAAGATGGTAACAATATATTGTATTCAATTTGACAACCTGAAGAAAATAACGCCTTAAATGGTAACAAATCAATCAATATCATAACATCCAATGCAAAGACATCTTAAAGCTTTTTGAAAGACAATCTAAAACTCGTCAGAGTCATAAAAGACTGCATGAATCAGATTATTGGTGTCCAAAATTCCTTACATCTTCGAAACCCACAGCGGGATTGGTTCTGTAAATCACTTATATTTCGCGAGGGATTTATTTCCGCGTTAATGCGCGAGAAGAGACAATTGCGAATTTGAATTCTTGGCGATGGTTTGCACAAAAATAACTCTAGATGGCACCAACGTTGATTCGTTTACCGGAGTCTTGAAGACTTCATGTCTCTAATAGCTCATCATTCGCGAATTTAAAGTTATTTCTTTATCAGCGTTCGCGAAATCATATTTCCGGGAATATATATGAACAGTTAAGTTCGCAAAATAAAGTATTCTCGAAAAGTGATTTCCAGTATCAATCTTTACTTAAAATATAAATATCGAGCGTTTTATGCCCAAAAGATTACAAAGGTCTCAAATTAATGAAGTCTCAATTTTCATTTTGCAGAAGAATATCTGCAGACGATATTCCACATATTTGACAAAGATGGCGACGGTAGAATCACGGCAGATGAGCTGACAACAGTGCTTGAATCACTCCAGCTTTCCAAGAAAGAGTTAAAACGGCAGGTCGCGAAAGTCATGGCGGATGGCGACAAAGATCGTAAGCAATGAAAAAGATCGGAAATGACGTATTACGTCTGTTTGTGTCCTAGTTTTAAGAATATATGACAAGTTCTGAGACTAATTTGTAAAAGTGGAAGTTACCTTTGCATTGATTTTATCCATTTTAATTAAGTTTAAATGATAAAACAGATATCATATTGGTTAATATTGAGATACATATATTATGAACAGGTCGGAATATGATTTTCTCAACATAATAAAAATATTGAACAGAGCAAAGTAGGTGAAACATAGATTCATGATAAAAATTCTAGAATAATATTGACTCGTATGTAAATCAACTTTAATCGAAAACATCACAAAATCAAAAATAACAATTTACAATAGAATGTTTCTGTTACATATGTTAAAGGATTTGCTAGTGTCTGCCATTCGGTTAATATCACTTTTTAATTGAAATCAGATATAAGTATTTCAGCGAATCAATCAATCAAATATCAAAGGTAGCAGGCAGTGTATAAATGCCCTAAAACTTGAAAATGAGGCTTATATTCGTCAAAAGTAAACAAATGTATGTTTATTTATGTAAGAATTATTTTCAGGATACACTTCTTTTCGAGGTCGACATGTCGACTTTTTAGGGTACATAGTATTTTAAATGTAGATTCCGCTGAGCTTTTAGTCTCCAAGGTTTGCTATATCTGGAAGGACACGTTATAATTCACTCGAATAGTGGCACGGTTTCGAATATATACATGTAACTGACGTTTATCTGAAACAATTTAGATTTTTAAATTATGAAATTTAATATTTTGTATTTAAACATATTTGGGGGCTAGTGACTTCTCAAACTATTTTGGATCCTCCTCAATCGCCTCCCCGGTTTCAATAATTTATGTCCTTGGCATCACTGACGAGTCCTTAAAGTACGAAACGGCTGTATGATGTAGTATCACTGACGAGTCCTAGACGGACGAAACGGCTGTGTGATGTAGTATCACTGACGAGTCCTAGACGGACGAAACGGCTGGATGATGTAGTATCACTGACGAGTCCTAGACGGACGAAACGGCTGTATGATGTAGCATCACTGACGAGTCCTAGACGGACGAAACGGCTGTATGATGTAGTATCACTGACGAGTCCTAGACGCACGAAACGGCTGCATGATGTAGTATCACTGACGAGTCCTAGACGGACGAAACGGCTGTATGATGTAAATCACTGACGAGTCCTAGACGGACGAAAAGGCTGCATGATGTAGTATCACTGACGAGTCCTAGACGGACGAAACGGCTGTATGATGTAGTATCACTGACGAGTGCTAGACGGACGAAAAGACTGTATGATGTAGCATCACTGACGATTCCTAGACGGACGAAACGGCTGTGTGATGTAGTATCACTGACGAGTCCTAGACGGACGAAACGGCTGCATGATGTAGTATCACTGACGAGTCCTAGACGGACGAAACGGCTGTATGATGTAGTATCACTGACGAGTCCTAGACGGACGAAACGGCTGTATGATGTAGTATCACTGACGAGTCCTAGACGGACGAAACGGCTGTATGATGTAGTATCTGACGAGTATGATGTAGTAGTATCACTGACGAGTCCTAGACGGACGAAACGGCTGTATGATGTAGTATCACTGACGAGCCCTAGACGGACGAAAAGACTGTATGATGTAGTATCACTGACGAGTCCTAGACGGACGAAACGGCTGTATGATGTAGTATCACTGACGAGCCCTAGACGGACGAAAAGACTGTATGATGTAGTATCACTGACGAGTCCTAGACGGACGAAACGGCTGTATGATGTAGCATCACTGACGAGTCCTAGACGGACGAAACGGCTGTATGATGTAGTATCACTGACGATTCCTAGACGGACGAAACGGCTGTGTGATGTAGTATCACTGACGAGTCCTAGACGGACGAAACGGCTGCATGATGTAGTATCACTGACGAGTCCTAGACGGACGAAACGGCTGTATACTGACGAGTCCTAGACGGAAACGGCTGTATGATGTACGGCTGTATGATGTAGTATCACTCACAAGTCCTAGAAGGACGAAACATTTGTATGATGTAGTATCACTGACGAGTCCTAGACGGACGAAACGGCTGTATGATGTAGTATCACTGACGAGCCCTAGACGGACGAAAAGACTGTATGATGTAGTATCACTGACGAGTCCTAGACGGACGAAACGGCTGTATGATGTAGCATCACTGACGAGTCCTAGACGGACGAAACGGCTGTATGATGTAGTATCACTGACGAGTCCTAGACGGACGAAACGGCTGTATGATGTAAATCACTGACGAGTCCTAGACGGACGAAACGGCTATATGATGTAGCATCACTGACGAGTCCAAGTAGTATCACTGACGAGTCCTAGACGGACGAAACGGCTGTATGATGTAGCATCACTGACGAGTCCTAGACGGACGAAACGGCTGTATGATGTAGTATCACTGACGAGTCCTAGACGGACGAAACGGCTGTATGATGTAGCATCACTGACGAGTCCTAGACGGACGAAACGGCTGTATGATGTAGTATCACTGACGAGTCCTAGACGGACGAAACGGCTGCATGATGTAGTATCACTGACGAGTCCTAGACGGACGAAACGGCTGTATGATGTAGTATCACTGACGAGTCCTAGACGGACGAAACGGCTGTATGATGTAGTATCACTGACGAGACGGACGAAAAGCTGCATGATGTAGTATCACTGACGAGTCCTAGACGCACGAAACGAAACGGCTGTATGATGTAGCATCACTGACGAGTCCTAGACGGACGAAACGGCTGTATGATGTAGTATCACTGACGAGTCCTAGACGGACGAAACGGCTGCATGATGTAGTATCACTGACGAGTCCTAGACGGACGAAACGGCTGTATGATGTAGTATCACTGACGAGTCCTAGACGGACGAAACGGCTGCATGATGTAGTATCACTGACGAGTCCTAGACGGACGAAACGGCTGTATGATGTAGTATCACTGACGAGTCCTAGACGGACGAAACGGCTGCATGATGTAGTATCACTGACGAGTCCTAGACGGACGAAACGGCTGTATGATGTAGTATCACTGACGAGTCCTAGACGCACGAAACGGCTGCATGATGTAGTATCACTGACGAGTCCTAGACGGACGAAACGGCTGTATGATGTAGTATCACTGACGAGTCCTAGACGGACGAAACGGCTGCATGATGTAGTATCACTGACGAGTCCTGACGGACGAAACGGCTGCATGATGATGTAGTATCACTGACGAGTCCTAGACGGACGAAACGGCTGTATGATGTAGTATCACTGACGAGTCACTGTGTATGATGTAGTATCACTGACGAGTCCTAGACGGACGAAACGGCTGTATGATGTAGTATCACTGACGAGTCCTAGAAGGACGAAACAGCTGTATGATGTAGAATCACTGACGAGTCCTAGACGGACGAAACAGCTGTATGATGTAGCATCATTGACGAGTCCTAGAAGGACGAAGTACGGCTGTATGATGTAGCATCACTGACGAGTCCTAGACGGACGAAACGGCTGTATGATGTAGTATCACTGACGAGACGGACGAAACGGCTGTATGATGTAGTATCACTGACGGACGAAACGGCTGCATGATGTAGTATCACTGACGAGTCCTAGACGGACGAAACGGCTGTATGATGTAGTATCACTGACGAGTGCTAGACGGACGAAAAGACTGTATGATGTAGCATCACTGACGAGTCCTAGACGCACGAAACGGCTGTATGATGTAGTATCACTGACGAGTCCTAGACGGACGAAACGGCTGTATGATGTAGTATCACTGACGAGTCCTAGACGGACGAAACGGCTGTATGATGTAAATCACTGACGAGTCCTAGACGGACGAAAAGGCTGCATGATGTAGTATCACTGACGAGTCCTAGACGGACGAAACGGCTGTATGATGTAGTATCACTGACGAGTGCTAGACGGACGAAACGGCTGTATGATGTAGTATCACTGACGAGTCCTAGACGCACGAAACGGCTGTATGATGTAGTACCACTGACGAGTCCTAGACGGACGAAACGGCTGTATGATGTAGTATCACTGACGAGTCCTAGACGGACGAAACGGCTGCATGATGTAGTATCACTGACGAGTCCTAGACGGACGAAACGGCTGTATGATGTAGTATCACTGACGAGTCCTAGACGGACGAAAAGACTGTATGATGTAGTATCACTGACGATTCCTAGACGGACGAAACGGCTGTATGATTTAGTATCACTGACGAGTGCTAGACGGACGAAAAGACTGTATGATGTAGCATCACTGACGAGCCCTAGACGAACGAAACAGATGTATGATGTAGTATCACTAACGAGTCATTGAAGGACGAAACAGTTTGATTCATTATTTGAATCTACTGAATTCAATTCTACATTTGTATTCACAGAAAATGGAACAATAGATTTTGAAGAATTTCATGCATTTATGGAGCCAAAAATGGTATGTCAGAGTAAACTGAAAGAGATGAAAGAAGCATTTTGTGTGTTCGACTCTAACGGAAACGGCCTCATTGAGCATGATGAACTTAAAAAATGTATGTCAAAATTGGGTCATAATCTCAGCGACGATGAAGTGACAGAAATGATCGAAGATGCTGATCTGGATGGGGACGGAAGGATTAATTTTGATGGTAATGTAGCTTTTTAATCACTCATTGTCTGAATATGATCGAGGTTGGAATTATTTAATGGAGTTACTTCTTTCGCTATTTTCGAAGATGAAACTAAACTGTGAAATGTAAGAAATACCAGTGGAGAAAATCCGTGACTTCCGTGAAAAAACAAATCAACTACTAGTGAGTTTGACGTTTTTGTCAAAGCTGCGAAATTTTTTTCATTATTGCTCAGTAATGTATTTATATAAAAGGAAATTTGGATCAAAATATAAACGTATTTGATTTTTTTTGCTACACGTGTCTGCACTTAGGAGACGATGCAATCTTTCATATTGTTTTATTTCCGTTTTCCGTTTGATTTATACATATTTTGTTGCACATCAGTAGCAATAGAACTGGACACACACGTTTTACAACTTATATAAAACCCTTTCCAATCATATTAATATACACACATTATATTTACAAGGTGGCAGTAGGATATGATAAGCGAAGAGAGAAAGAGAGGGGGAGAGGGTGGGGGAGGGAGGAGGTGTATTACACGTGCTTTGTATATTGAGAATACTTTGTATATATGTAGATCATGTATCTACTCCTTCTCCATGCAAGCGAACCAGGTGATACACTGTCCACATGCCTAAACTCTCAACTTGTCAATGTTCATCACTTCCTGTGCTTTGTAAACGTTCTCCGTTTTCTTTTTTAAAATCGTGTTTTTTCTGTTCCTTCTTCTGTTTAAACAACCTAAGGAAATTTGATATTTCACTACGAATCTCTACATCTGTAAAATTGCTCTAGTTCTTATTTGAAATGTCTTAACATCTGGACGTTTTATATCAAAGTTTCCACACTCCTCTGTACACTGAAATCTATATTCTGTGATGTGTCTTTATCTCTTTATAACGTTAAACTTTAAAAGGTAAAAATTGACTTTCTCCTTCGTCGTAGGATTTGACTATTATGTGCTTCAACACTATTTCTCTGCTCTATTTTAGTTGTTTTCTTTTTTTTTAATTATGTATTTTTTTCATTTTCACTCTTGAGGTATACCATTCATAAAAAAGCTGCCAACTTTCATTAACAATGAATTTCTTTCATTTCAGAATTTGTTAAGTTCATGATGAACAAGTAGTAGTAATATTGCAAAGCAAGGACATCCAGATGAACTTGCAACGACAGCACTATTCATTGCCTCGTGTAGAGGCTATTGTACCTTTGGATGTTGCTTGTGTTCGTGTTAATGTGGACGCGAAGTTAGGAGAACGTTACGCATTAGACAGGAGCGTTTGCTGTGGCAATGTCAACCTAAAATGTAATTGTGTTTCTAGGGAGCGGGTCCATTATTTTGCTCAGGAGTGCCTTATAAGAAACGAATGTATTATCAAAAACATTTACTCTTTCACACCTGCACACCATTTTCAATATTAGATTGCATAATTTAAATGATGAACTGACTCAACGTTATATGCTTATGTGCTCATATCAATTTTGTGTCCAGTTAGACGATATACACAGTGTGTCGTGTCACATATTTGGAATTTGTTGTTATGGAAAAAATTCTCCAAACACGAACTGGTGTAGAATTTGAAATTGAATATGAAATAATTTATATTTAAAGACAATAGCTTGCCACGTAAAAGATACAGTGCACATAACTTGAATGTCTATGGGATACGAAACAGACTGTTATTAATATCGATAGAACCGGTCTGTATAGAGTATGATTTATATAAAATGTTACTATACAAATAGCTGTTTTCCCCCTTTTTAGACAAACAGCTGATATTGCACGTAAATGAGTCAATTACAACAGATGTCGTTTTCACATTAAGTACTGTTTCGTTTCACGCTATTTTGTGCACGTGCGCACCTGTAGCAAAAAATGGCATACAATTTTTTTTTTTTTTTTTTTGTAAAAGAAGTAGTATGAGACAGAGAGATTCGACTCGTTTGACATGTGAATATATATAAAACGAAAAGCGGGGGAGAAAATGTGATATTGTGTCTATAATTACTGTAGCGACGGAGTAAAAATGCAACGAAGTGTCACCACCTATTGTCTATTACATATGTTGTACATGTGTTTATTAATTCATACCTAAAACCATATGAGCAATTGTCATCATTTTCATTAAGGTATCACAACTGGTGTATTTTGTCGTTTTCATCTTGATCAGTCATCCGTGATTTCTTTGAAGTCTACAAATTAAGCTTGGGGCCGTATTGTACCTCTGGTATGTGTCCGTGTTTGTTTTTAGTCATGTCTTACCAAGACCATCTAACATCCCAGTCAAGTCAATGAAAGGAAAGACATTTTACTCCGGTCAATTTCAATATCGTATAGTATAATTAAATGGACTTTACATGTTAATTAATTACATTCACCAACCAAAATCTACCTTTGAAAATACGTTGATATCTGACAGGTGTCTTCAAGGCAAACCAAAATTCTTCAAACAGTAAAACGGTCATATCATCAGGGACATCAAAACATGTGCCATGTTTGTGTTATTGAATTTTTTCCTAGCTGTCTTTAGAATCGGATCTTAAACCGATGTTTCCTCTACTTTATTGACGTTTATCACGTGCTTTTTCATTTTAGTTTGTCTTAGGAATTTCCGGTCTGTGGAATCGTTAGTTTAAAAAGAAGAATTTTCAATTTGTTGGTGCATTGTCCTACAACAACTAGAAAATGTGTTATCATATATTATACCTCTAAAATATTGATATATACATACTTTCAATATATACTTTCTATAACTACGATTCTTTTTAAGATGGCTATAAAGAACATACAGTGTCTGAGATGTAACGTTACACTTATAATAGTGAAATAAGCATTTATCATTGATTAAACACGCGTTTTTCATAGACCGGAAGTAGCTAGGGCTGACAAATTTTCAGAGGTAGGAACTAATTAAGAAACCGAATGCGGATCCGGATACCTTGAAAGGCAGCTATTGCAATAACAAGAGGAACTTGATCCAAAGTTATTAATTGAGATACAAAATTCATGTCAATTTGTAAATTAACTTCTAACCTGAGACAAGTTGCATAACAACAAACTACGTTCGTGGGAGTTTTATTTTTCAATAACCATATGTTTGTGTATGACATGCACTTTTAAACAAAGATTTTAAAGATGAATTAGTTGATGATCAAGAAGTATATCATTGAATAACGGTAGTTTGGACTGTCCTAAGAATAATCTAGTATTTTAAAAGCAAAGTTTATCAATGCACTATCATTTTGTTGTCGTGTTTATATCTATCATCTTAGTTACAGATCGTGCCATAAGAATGAGTGTTTTGTAAAACTGTCAATTAATGTTAATGTCATTTGGGTTTTTTTTCTTATCACCAGTAAATAAATTTTGATTGATCTCAAAATCTTTTCTGTTTTCATTTTTTTTTTCGTTTCATTATAATATGTGCTACATGAATTTTTTGCAGTACAGTTAATTTAAGATGTGAATATTTCATTCTCCAATATTCATTACGGACGAAAGCCCTCAACTTTAGCGCAGACTTTGAGCGATTACATTTTTAATTAATTGCTAGATGTAGTCTTATTAGTTTTTGACACATACATGTTCTGAATCTATAGCTTGATTCAATTTTTCTAGTCCAATTAATTTTGTTTATTAGAAAATCAAGTGATGTTCATGTTTTGTTTTCAGTTTAATTATACCAGTTTCAGTTTACAATTCTGAATTATTAACCAGATAAACGGTTTGAATTTTTGATAATTCGCCATAAGATGCCAGCATGTATCCAGTGCTAATGTACATAAAGGTACAATATCATGTCTCCGGTTAATATTGTCAGAATTAGATATGAGGGTTGTGAAACGCTAGATCATCCTCTCTTGGGGTGAATGCAAATGTACGCTTGTCATATCACGTTTATCAATAATTATTGATATTTTGATACAGATTGACAATGTTTCAAAATAGGTATTGGGTATTTAAATTCAAATGATAAATTATTTAACTTCCAAGTAACAAATCATATGCTGCATGAATAGATAAGCTTCGTCCTGTTTTGGGTCAGTCGCATGTTTAAATCATGTGATGTTATCATATGTCATTGATTTCCCAGCTTGGTAATCAGCTGTCAGATATTGATTTTCATGACGATAATAAGTGAAATCGATTGAAATGAACACATGTAATGATTTCACCAGGAAACAAAACTTAACGTGATAGGTTCATTGATTTGATGGACATAACGAGCAATGCCTATATAATTATACCTGTGTTTATGTAATTCTCACTTGACTCTCACACACACCGATAAAGTAACGTTAATGATATAATGGATTACAACGTCATGTGTAATTCTGTTCAGAATGGTCACATCCCTATAGACTTTGCAAATATATGTCAATATCTCTTTGAAGTTCTTATTGTGCAGATATAATACAAAAATACGTTAAGCCGACATTCTTTAAGGTAAATAAAATCAGTGTCTCTATTGAAAACAAATTCACGTGCAGAAAACACATATGCCTTACAGGTAGAAATAATGACATATTGACGACTCTGTAACATCTATCCTGCGAGTGCTTCACTGGTGTCAACAATTGGGACTCTCTATTACCTTACCTTACCCTCCCTGAAGTTGTACATAGATACAGATATAATATATTGTCTTCTCAAATTACGGGCTTCAATTAAATGGAATCCTTTCAACAGTGAGATAATAATTTGATAATTATATCGTAATTTGTGACTTTTGTGAACATTTTTCAGTTATTTTCAGGAGTTGTCGCCCCTTCTGTAAAAACATACTACAATTGTCTCCATACCAAATTTGTCAACAGATCATTTTAAATTCTCACTTTCATCCCCTCCTTTTATATCTGAATGATATCTACCTATATGGATATATTTATGACTTTTTATCTATGTTTATTTC